CTCAGGCAGGAAACCCTATACCATTTCGGACAAATGGCTGTCCAGTCTCTTCTTAAAAACTTCCAGTGTTGGAGCATTCACCGCTTCTGGAGGCAGGTTGTTCCACTGGTTAATTGTTCTAACTGTCAGGAAGTTTCTCCTTAGTTCTAGGTTGCTTCTCTCTTTGGTTAGTTTCCACCCGTTGCTTCTTGTCCTGCTTCAGGCGCTTTGGAGAATAGCTTGACTCCCTCTTCTTTGTGGCAGCCCCTGAGATATTGGAACACTGCTATCATGTCCCCCCTCGTCCTTCTCTTCATTAAACTAGACATACCCAATTCAAGCAGCCGTTCCTTATATGTTTCAGCCTCCAGTCCCCTAATAATCTTTGTTGCTCTTCTCAGCAACTGATGTGCAAGTGAATCCAGGAACTACACAACCCTTGGTGCATTTGTTCTCTTGTCATCAGCATTATTTCTGATGAAGGCCCGGCATTTACTTTGATTTTCAAACTGCAGTTTATACCTCACCTTTTGGTCTAGCATTAAGAGCTTCAGTTTAGAGCAGAGCTGGCACCACCTTACCAATTTATGACCTTAGGGTTAGAAAAAGGTCATGCATTGATTAACTACATTCAGTAGTTCTAGCTTTTCCCTTTCTTGACTTACATTGACATACAAGGACAAGAGGAAATAATCTTTCCTGGCCTTTTTCCGGTCAAAGCGAATCATAAAAGCAAAACTATAAACACAGCTTGGAAAGGTTGAAGGCAAAAGGAGAAGGGGATGGCAGAGGATGAGATGGTTAGATAGTGTCATTGAGACAATGAACATGAATTTGAGCAAATTCCAGGAGACAGTGGAGGACCGGGGAGCCTGGTATGTTATGGTCCATGGGTTACGAAGAGTTGGACACAACTTAGTGACTGAACAATAACATCAAAACTGTGTAGATCAGGGAAAGGAAGTCAAATGCTCTCCAATGATCCAGTATGATTCTCTAATGTTGGTCATGAGGATTTTTTTGAAACAGTTCATTAAAGATGCAATTGCAGAGAGGGTTTTGCAGGTTTGACTTCAGTATATTCTGGGAATAAATTAAATATATCTCGCATGCTTGTACAGTTGTCGTAAGTTAGTGCTTATGATGTTAGGACGCCAGCGCACTACAGTATGTTAACATTTGTGCAAAGTGCAGCAAATGTTGTGGGACTATGTAGCCTATCTTCAATAGCCACTATTGTAACACGTAAAAGAATCTTAAAAATTAATAGCAGCTGACTTGTTTGGCTTCAGTAAATCGGAGACTTAGTCTGTTCTCTGAGCGCGTTAGCGATGATTTGCTTGGAGCTAACGCTCCAGCTAATAAAACTCAGACTCCACTTTACTGATGAGTGTTCTTAATTATTCATTTTACTTGTGCATAGCAACCTATCCTGGAAGTATGTGATCACATGCAATCTTAATAATTGTATGCTATAATGTATCTAAGGTTCCAAACTGCAGCTTTGTCACTCATGAGTATCCTTTTTTTTGCTTCTCCACAGATGAAATTATACCATCTGAGAGCAGCTCCTTGTCTGATACAACATCTTTTGAAGATGGTGCGTATTCCCATACTCTTAACTTTAAAAGCAAAATACACACAGGAAATGTTATATTCTGTATTTCTTGTCTTCTCTGGGTGTGGAGGTAAAGAGAGGAAATTTGATTTCTGTAACAGCTGGCACCTTTACAAAGGCCAGGCTACTTCTAAATAAATATTCCTGCTAGCAAATGAGCATGTCCAAGCAGTTGGGCTTTAGAGATGTTCACAGAAGGAATGTTTTCAATGCCTCTCTGTTCTGTAGTCATATCTCTGTCTATGTGTTTGGAGGAACAAACACATGGAAGCAGATTTTCAACAGTGTGGGAGGGTGTTTTGTCCAAGTCTCAGGGCAGTGATCAGATTCCCAGGTGATTTTGGAGCCAGACCAAAATGAATCACGCCAGTGAATAAAGAAACTTTAAGCTTTATTGTTTAACGGTAGCAAACAGATTGAACGACATGACATAAAAAGCATGCATACCAAGCACGATGATGCCCAAATTTCTTATAAGCTGTGAGGAGTTCTTTCATAATCTCAGTAGAGATATATCTCAAGAGTGGCCACTTTCCATAGTACTCAGTGCTAAGTTCTATGCAGAAACTCTCCACAAACAACATCAATTCCTGGGTTTCCATCAAAACCTGGCAACATGACTTCACGGCCCGGCTATATTTCTGAGATTGCAAGACCTGACCTTAACTTGGAGGCACATGATTGTGAGATTTTCACAGGTTTACAGTATGGGAAGCTATGTGAAGATTCTCCTCTTCCTCCTCTATTCAGCAAGGTAAAAAAATAAAGGAGTCCCTGCGGATTTTACTCTGCTAGTCGTTGCTGAGCCATTAACCCAGTACTCTCCAAAGACATTTCTTTAGTCAGGTGGCCAGCATAATGTCACGGAGCACCAGGGTTTTTTTTCTCATAGAACACCCAGAACGGAGTTCCGGCACCTTTTTTGGATGGAACCTTGTAGGGTAGGCAAGGCGGGTTGTATGACGTGTGTGAGTTCCAGCACCTTTTTTTTTTTTTTTTTTTAGAAAAAAAGCACTCAGCCAAACTGATCCCAGATAGTAAAGGGGGTTCTGAGCCATTCATTTTTATATATATGTAAAAAGAAACTCAGGTGCTAGTGGGTTAAAGCAGAAAGAAGAAAGACAATATGCTGATACAATCTCCTAATCTTCATGAACATTTAACTCATATAAACAAGCAATTATTATCCTTTTTAATCTTTCAGTGCTGCCATAATGATACCTGGGTTTGTTACTTCCTGCCAGCTAATACTGGGCTGGGTTAGCTATACTCCCTTGATTAGTCATTAGTCCTAAATAGAACCCCACAATCCTATTTATTATCACATAAAAAATGTGCCAAATTCTTTCATTTTGATGAGGCAATGCTTTCCAGTTGGTTAGTCTCAAGAACAAAGCTACCGGCATTGGAATGAATCCTGTACAGTGCCTTACCTGGTCATGTTTTGAAGCAGAGAATTTTTTTAAATCCTCAATTTCTGTGCATAAATTTTTACTCTAGAAGTTATAAACATGGCCTGAGTTTTTCACAAGTGGTCAACCACTGACCAGTTTATTAGCCAGCAGCATTTATTTTACTGTTTTTATCACTGTACATACTACATTCCTAACTGGGGAAAGAGAAAAAAATGATGTGATCAGTCAAAAGTTTCAAACAATAGTTACAGTAAGAAAGCAAGTAAGAAAACGGCTAATAAAAAATTATCACTGTGGCTTAAAGCTTTAATCCTCCAGTTTTTGAATGGAATCTATCCATTTGGACTTCTTTAAAGTCCTAGCTGAACTAAAGATAGGATTTTCAGGTCAAAATCATTCCAGTTTTTATTCATAACAAATTCTTCTCAAAAATTGTCTAATCAAAACACAGCCTTGGTACGATGCATCCTCAAAGTTGTTTAAGAGCTGTCTCTTAAAGAAGCACTAGCGAAAACCAGTTGTCATCCCACAGTCTTACACATGGAATAAGGGTGTTTAATTACAGGATGACTGTGTGCCTAGGGAATTAGTTGGCTTTCCTTAGTTGGATGTATTAATCCAGATGGTGTGCATCCATCTGTGTGAAATGATCGAATTTGGATTCATCACTGAGCAGTATTTTGGGCTCAATAGTCTAATGTGCTTCTTCATCTCACTTTTGTGAAAGTACCACGGGTTCATAAAGGAAGAAATAGAATATTTCTTTCCAATAGAAATATAAAGAGTTATGTAAGGATTGGATAACACAAAATCATGCTGTTTCTTCCAATTAATTCTTTTTAAGGCAATACTTCCCTTACTGTGGCAGTCCAAAGAATAATCTCTCTGCCAGCCTCTCCACCACCCAAAACTCTTGGAGTGGAGAAGATCCATCTCAGGAAGTCTTCCATGAATGAACAGCTCTTAGAACAGAGACACTCCAGGTATGGGACCATTGATGATGTTCAAGCTGCAATAGCTTTATTGCTTTGTTGTTGTTGTTGTTGTTGTTGTTGTTTTTTAAAAAAAACTTTCCATGCATTGCCAGATACTTTAAAGTGGTAAGGTTTTTTTTTTAACTGTTGCTATGATTGATTGATTGATTGATTGATTGATTGATTACTTTTTCTACTAAAAGATGCATACGAAATGCCTTGTAACAAAAGAGCTTGCATTCTGTTTTCATAGTGATTTCTATAGTCTGAGCTTTCACCTATGATCTGAATGTAAATGTATAGATTCTTCCAGAACACATCGTCCCGGAGAAGATCAATCTATTTTATTTCAGAGAATTAACAGTGATTTGATATCTCATAACTAATCAGATTTTGCAGTGGCCTCAAACATCTCAACTGCTTGGCACCAGGAGCTAGCGTTATACAAAAAAATGGCAGGACTAAACCTAAACCACTAAGACTCAAGTGATTTCCCTGCCCAACCCCTGCTGGTCAGGGAGTCATTTTAAGCAGTTCCTTGCTAAAATGCCAGAACCAGAAAACTGGGAACTCCTTATACCTGCATGATGCCATAGGAATAGAGCCAAGGCCTTCTCCGAATCTTCATTTTTTATTTTTTTTTATTAAGTTTATATGCCACCCCTCTCACTGGAAAAGAGTCTCATTAGCTGAAGCTTTCAGCAACTGTAATATATAAGAATAATATATTAATAGCTCATAATGATTGTGTGCTATGAAGACTATATTAACTTTGTGATCATTTCTCCCTCTGCCCTGTTTCATTGCCTGTGCTACCTTTTTAAGCCTCTCCCTGCTTAGTAGCAACTGTTTTGCAAAGTAGGTTGCAGTATGATGCTCTTCTGCGTGAAATCTGTTAGCACTCACTGTTACAAGCACTGTTCTTGCATTGTCAGCCTGTAGGAAAATCGTATCCATGCTGGTATTCTTTGCATTGGTTTGAAGATACTAGAATGATGCTGGTCACTAGATCCCTTTGTTTCTAATCATAGAGATTCTCTGTCAACTCATAGCAGTCCATACCGGACAGCCGAGAGGCAACACCATGGAGGAAGAAGTATGCCCACAACACCAGTCCTCACACGCAATGCCTACAGTAGCACTCACTTGCCGTAAGTCATTCCCGTGCTATTTTTTTTCTCCTCATTTGAGTTGAAAGTTATTTCCTATTCTTGTACAAAAGGCATATTACAGCCAAAACCTATAGGTGTGTCCACAGTAGTTCTCAGTCGATTTGCTACAGCTGAGGTGAATTTGATGCATAAATATCTTTGAATCAGAGTACTTGAACAGGAAGCTTCGTTTCTAATTATTTTTAGGTACAGTAGAATTAAATGGGCTTATAGTCTTCAAAGCTAGAAACTGAGTCAGCCAAAAAAGGGGTTGGCCAGGAAGTACAAAGGACAGGACAATTATGGTTTTACCCAAATGGATGTGGCAGGTTTGGGAAGAAGAGACTTTGGGTTTTAATGAGTTGAGGGGTTTAGTACTTCAGAGTAAATTTGAGTACTACTTCTGAGTAACATGTTCCTATGGAAATCACATATGCACACATAAGATTGCCTCTTGAAGTTTTGAGGACCAAAGAATGGCATTTGAGGATCCACAGAGAATGCCCACTTCTCCTAAAAGTTGGTTTAGAAGTAATAGTGTCATATTATTACCTAACTTAGTTTGAAGGGTTTACCTAATCTAGTTACTAGAAAGAAATTTCCTGAATAAATATCAGTCACAATAATGATTAGCTTTAACACCCAGCAAGATTGTGAGCTGAGAAAATGTTAGGAAATTCTTAGATCAGTATTTCTCAGTAACTTTGGAATGTGGTTGATTATTAGAAACATGACGTTGAAAGATTGTTCTTTCCAAAGTAAATATAAATAGTATCCAATATTTGTTTATGCCATATGATTATTACTTACAACTGTAGGATTACTATGGAGATTGGATTTTGTTCCCCTTCTACACACACACACACCCCACACACACACTCACACACTATATGACCACATAGTTGAGAAAGCAACATTATGCACAATTCAGTTGCAAACTTAACTAATTTATAAAACTTGATTTGATTCACAAAAGTGACAGAACTGCTGAAGAATATTCTTACATTTTTCTGTCTCGGGCAAAATTTGACAGATTTATGAAGATTTGGTGCTTGATTGTTTGATACTACATTGCATCTCAGAAAAGTGTTCTGTAGCACTGCAATTCTTAATTACATCATTTATTTTAATTCTCATATTTATTTAACTACTGAGCCCTGATGATAGCTATTATTCTGATATGTATTATATCAAAGATCCTCAAATCCTATGTCACTGACAAGTCTCATGTTTTGGTTCAACTGCTTTCCTACTATACATATTATGTACATAGGTTCATGGCTCACGTGTAACATTGGATACAGCTTTCATGTCATTCATTGCCACCTTAGATGAATTCATTTTTAATTTTCATGCAAGATAATATTTTACCATTTAGTTGAATATTATTGTGCTGATTGTACAGTTGATTCACTGTTCACTTACGAATTATTTCTGTGATCAGGTATGTAGAATTTATTCGTCAGCAGTGAAATACCAACTTGCTTGTAATTCTATAGTTTTATTAAAAGAACGGTGTGGTGGCCTACTGGTGAAGACACTTGTCTCCCACTTGGAAGGTTGAGCGGTTAATCCTAGGTAGCAACAGATGTTTCTCTCTTAGAACTCAAAGATAAATATTTGCTGCGAACTCGGCATAGGCATCAGGAAGGGCATCCAGCCAGTAAACGCTTGATTCCATCAGTCGTTATGACTCTTCCCTGAATTACAGGATCGTAAAAAAGGGAGTTTATTGAACTATAGAATAAAGTTCCGCTGCATAATATAGCATGAAGCAAATTTGCAGCCCCTTTCAACTTCATATATATAAAATACTCCCTGTTAGGATTTTCCTTGAGAAAAATCTCAAAAAGGTGATACCGCCATCCGTAGGTATCCTGCTGTGTTGTTGAATTGCTGTGATGTGTTTACTTATCTTTTACTTTGCTGACTTTGTTTGAAATGTACTATACTTTCTTTGAATCTATTGCTCTATGCTCTTATGGGAACTGACTTGTCTGCTTTCCTTGTAACAAAAACCTGTTTCTTTTTTCAGATCCGATACTTCCCCTCAGCACTGTTTGGAGACCCAAACTGCCTTCTTATCTGAAACCACCAGTGAAAAGCCAGTGTTCACCCTTTCAAAATCCCAAAGAAGTAGCAGCACAGAAATCCTAGATGATGGATCCTCCTACACCAGCCAATCCAGTGCAGAGTATTACTGCATGACCCCAAATTCAAAGCCCTGCTATAGCACCCAAACGCTTGACAACCGCACTAGAAACAGGAGACGGTCCAAGAAACTGAACATTTCTGCTTCCAGTTCAGGAAGTATGCCTAACCTAGCCCAGAAGGACAACTGCAATGGGGTCTACGCAAAAAAGCAAGGACAGATGCCGACCAGTTGCTACATTTCTGGCTATGCCCCTTCTACAGGGGGCGACATATATTACAACGGTGGCTATGTATACGAGAACGGCACAGAGGGCCAATACACGGTCAACCCTTCCTATCGTTCCTCAGCACACTATGGGTACGAACGTCGATATCGGGAATTCAGATCTTTCCACGAAGATGAAATGGAGCGAGTGCCACACAATCCGTACGCCACGCTGCGCTTGCCACGGAAGCCATCAATGAAAACAGAGCACATCACTAAAAATATCCACAAGGCCTTAGTTGCGGAGCATCTTCGTGGCTGGTACCAGCGTGCCTCTGGGCAAAAAGAGCAGGTTTTCGGCTTGCAGGCAGGCCTTGATGCTGATCGTGAGTCCCAGAGAGGTCTAGGCTGTACTGGACTACAGATGCTAAGTTGTCAAAGCAGTCATTCATCTTCTTTCTCTTTAGGTAACTATACCGCTTGTCAGTTTTTTTTGTAACTGCTCTGTTTTGTGTTGATGTTCCTCAGAGATCTTGCATGCTTCAGTCCAATGCATGAATAATGGCCTCTGCCTGCAGGAGGTTTATCTAGTCACCATGAAACGCCATCCATTCATTTGAATGAGCAAAACTCTTATTTTAATAAGTGGGAAATTTTTCTTCCATAGAAGCTCATTATCAGATAATAGAAGGAAGCGTTTAATTAGATTGCAAACGGCGGGGCGAGGTATAGAAAAGAGAATTCTCCAATAATTGGAGGTTAAAAACTTGAGTGATTTGGGAATATGGAATATGAGTAGCTATACAATGGGCTGAATGCAACACAAAAATGGAATACTTTGCATTCCCAGCAATGGTAGCCATCATCTGGCTGATAATTTGGGAACTGCACTCTTAAAACACCCCAAAAGCATCTGGTTAGGGAAGGCTGAGATGCCCTGAATAGTATTAATCTACCATCTTTCAGATGTCTTAGACTGTAATTTCCAGAAATACTTACCAGCATGACCAGTGCTCATAGCAATAGTCCAAAATGTCAGAGGATGTGGATCTTGGTTGTACCTGTTATAGATTATAGCTTGAGTGAATTTAGATGTCAGCACTTACCCACTATTTTATTCATTATTTACATGCAACATTTAATGTGCAACTTGCTATTTAAGTGTTCCTCTTCATTAGGTCAGCTTAGTCATGGCACTATCCTTCACAAATCAAAATCAGAAAAACTCTCAACCAAGTGTTGTGGATTTTATCCAAGTAATTGATGAGATTTCTGTTATACTGGTTTTAAAAGAATGGTCATACTGGTTTGTAATACGGTCGGGTGTCAACAGTGTGTGCAGGAGGTTAAGAAATTTGAGACAAGCCTTACAGGTTTGTACAAATGGCTCATCAAATCCCACATCCTGTCTCCCATAGGGATGAGGGCCTGAAGGAGCCAAGTGTTTAATCACAGGAGATAACCTTTAAAAGGCATCCCATATTTGTGCAGTGGAAAAGTCCATAAGATAGTTATAATAGTTGTAGAATTTATTCTGCTGCGGCTTCTTAGCCCGCAACTTTTTCAGTGTTATTGAAAAAGAGGTAAACTATCGGCAGCCTTTCATTGTAAAATGTTATCCCAAATATATGGGTTCTGTACAGGTATTATACAATTCTGGAAATTGGGTACACTTTTGAAAGTGAAAAAAAAATACACAAACTTCAGAAAACCTTAAAATGTGGCAGAGCCTAAATGGTATTAGAAGGTGTTGGGTTAGAATTAAGAAAACTCAGGTAAAAATTCCACATTCAATCTCTCTCCCAAACCAACTCACATGGGTAGGAGAGGATAAAATTGAGAAAGTGGCTATAATGAGCTCCTATAGGAAGGACAGGTTCTAACTCTAGCAAATGTATCTGCCATTGCTGGTGATAAGTTCCAAATGTTAGATAAAGAGCGATGGCCCCAGAGCACCAGGTGAGCTTTCTTGCTAAATGGAGATTTAAAGCAGCCTTTTCAGTCCAAATCCAACACCCTAATCCAGTGGTGGCGAACCTATGGCACACGTGCCAGAGGCGGCACTCAGAGCCCTCTCTGTGGGCACCTGCGCCGTTGCTCCAGCCCCGCCTCCCCCCTCTCCTCGCTAGCAGCCCCCCCAGAGCAGAGTCACCCCTGAGCGCAGCCCGTGCAGAGCAGCACAGCCAAGGACATGGCAGCTGGGCAGCAGGGGCAAGACTCCGCCGTCACGCCCCATTGCACGCAGTTGATGCTGCGGGGCGGAGGGGGGGCTGCCATGGCGCTGCTGAGCCGCCTGGGTGATATGCGGCAGGCTTGGAGGTGGTGGGCGGGCGCGGGGCGTGGGGACGGAGCGGGGGGGATGGGGCAGGCCCGGGTTTTCGGCACTCGGTCTCTAAAAGGTTCGCCATCACTGCCCTAACCAGTACATCACCAGGAAGATGGTCATTTTTAATTTCATCTTTCATTTTAGATCTTTTGCTGAAAGCCAGTGAGCTCAGCATTAATTTGCTAAAGCTCACCTTATTTCGGCAAAGCCGGAATAAAATGTATAAAATACTTTAAGATAACCTTCCCCAATGTAGTTCATGTAGATGTATCAGGATCCAACTCCCAAGTGCTAGATTGGGAGAGGGGGCTGCATTAAAAGGAGTGTTCTAATCAAATTGGCATTTCCCTTTCATCTGGGATGTTTTGTACAGTATTTCTTTGAACTCAACCCTGTAGCCAAATTTTTATCTAAGCAGTTCTTATCCAAATGAAGAAAGGTTCATTGCTGTCATTCTTTTTCCCCTTATCTCTTCTTTCCTCAATTGCAGCATCCTCAACAAATTCCTCCGTGAACTGGCGAAATCAGGTTTTGTTAGGACTTCCTGATTATGATACACTATCACAGTCCTCCTTTGCCAGCTGTTACGGGAATGTGTATGGGAACCACCCACTGCAGAGCAGGTGAGGCGTGGGTTTATCTCTGCAGCTTTTGCGAACCTAGAAAGACCTACATGTTGGACAGCGACCCCTACAGTATGCTTCATGTTGCTGAAAAATTTGCTTTATAAACTGTAGCACACACTTGCAAAACCATAGACTTGGGGTGGGGAACTTGGGGTGGGAGAAGGTTAAAAGACCACATCTGTATAGGAATAATCAGGTGCTGCATCTCACCCCAATGAAGCCAACAGTGAGCCAGACGCAGGGAGAAAAAAATAGCACAAACATAAAGCTATATATAATGTAATTGTCCATTTCCAGGACCTGATTTCCTGAAGTCTGCCCTTTACCTGATATCAGATCAGTTCAACCTGTTTAGTGCAATCCAGGCCCAATTCAAAGAGCTGGTAATTACTTTTAAAGCTCAACTTGGCATAACACCAGGATGCCTCTGTCAACTCCTTGCCAGAACAAAATATGCCCATCCAGTCCAGTCATGAAGAGAGGACTTGCTGAAAGTTCTCTCTCTTCCTGAAGTTTGCAGGAGATGGTAAAACAAAAGACTTTCCCTGTAATAATTCCCGAAGTATGGAATAACTTCCTCCTAGAAATATGTGCAGACCACACCTTTCTGCAGTTCCATAAACAGATTAAAACTGATTTATTTCAACACCCTTTTGGTGCCAGGTGACTGCCTTGGACACCTATGTTAGGTATTATTTGTAGTTTTATCTTTCCTCAGAGTTGGGAGGTGGGGTTTTTTGGTACTGCTCTGGATTTAACTATTTAGCCTGTGTTCTTTTGTTTTTCCTTTTGTTTGATGTTACATGACACTCATAATCCTGTGGGATTGGGGAGAGTTCTAAGTCCTGTCAAATAAATAAATGGAAGTATAAAAATATTTTATTGTTGTATACAGAGTTGCCTTTTGTGAGATGGACAGCTAGCTATTCAAATTTGATGAATAAATAAATAAAGACAAAGGCACCGCCACACCCGGGCCTTCTTTGTGTATTCTGTTTGTCTCTTTCTTTTCCAATCTGGCTTCTGAAAATAGATATAAAGTTAGGTAGGGCAGCCCCCTTTAGCCTGTTTACTTGAGTTTGGTGAGGCTGAGAGTTGCAGCTTAATAGCTGGGATGGCACCAAGCTGCCAAATACAGGTTTATGCATTTTAAACAAAATGCATTTGTGTTCTCCAGATGACACCTTTAAAGACACCATCAATAACCCTCATGCCTCGTTTTTAATTACTTTTTTTTTTCCCTTGTATTTTCTCCTTGGCTTTCATGGCACTTCTGCCAACAGCAAGTAGCTTGAAGTTTCCCTTCAGTGCTGCCAATTGCTTCCCCCCCCCAATCCTGAGGTTTCTATTTGTTTGTTTCCCTAATCCTGTTTTGTGCCTGTTCCCTCTCCCTTTCCCTTTTCTGTTTCGTTGTCTTAAATTCTTTTCTCCCTTAGAGCAAAGCCTTTCTGTGTCTTTAACATCTGCAGGAATGACTTGATGTTTAAATATCTTGAAGTAAGAGGATCCAAGTACTTGTGACCAGTGGGGTGGGTGGTTTGAACTAGATCAGGGGTGTCAAACTGCTGGCCTGCGGGCCGGTTGCATCATACAGAGGCCGTGCCCAGCCCAGCTCCGGCAATGCAAAAAAAGTTGCGATACGTCACAACACGTCACGTGACGCAGCAAGTTTGACAGGTCACGTGAACTAGAGGATTGCTTATTGCTGAGCAGACTTAACGTGAAGTGAATTTGTGATGTTGTGGCATTTGCTTCATTTTAAAGAGGGCTTTTAAAACTGACCTGTTCCAGGTGGTTTTCTTTTTTAAAAAAAAAAAAAAGGCTTAAAGATGAAACAAAAAATATAACCAAACAAAAATTGTGAGTTCTTTTATTGTTTGATTAATGTCATCTTTTAGGAGAATTGCCAAGGCCTATTTAGCACATTTTTACCACAGAACAAAAATAAAATGAGAGATGGTTTTGCTGACAAATTCCGGCAGCATATTCTGTTACTTTGGGGGGGAGCTGCAGAGTAGGAGCTGGGGGTGCCATGAATAACCAAGAGCTACTCCTTCTCCATTCTTGCTCTAAACTATTACAGGTAGTCCTCATTTAGCAACTGTCTCATATAGCAACCATTCAACAGTTATGATAATAATAAAGAAGTAACTTGCAACCACTGCCTGCTTTTACAACCTCCACAGGTCTGTAAAGCAGAGGAAAGCTGAAATAAGATCATAAACACAGTTCATTGCTCAGTTGACGATCCCAATTATGGTTGCTAAATGAGGACAATCTTATCTGTTTTATTGCCAACTAGATGACCTCCAAGGTCCCTTCCAACTTTATCATCATCATCATCATCATCATCATTATTATTATTATTATTATTATTATTATTAAGACTATCTTGTAAACTGAGGCTTACTTCATAGTTAACGCTTCACCATTCCGGTCAGAAGGTATAGGTAATATACACATATATACTATTCTGTGTATAAACCAGTCCTAAATTTTCAGGGTGAGATGAGATAGAAATACCATTTCTGTGTATTTTTTAATGGGTGTTTAGTTATAAGGATATCATTTACTATTGCTGTATGTTCATGGCGGTGACTTTAAAAAAAATACATACACAAATAGTCCTCAACTTATGACCACAGTTGGGACTGGATAATTTATTGCTAAGCAGTGCAGTTGTTAAGTAAGGCATCCAATTTTATTACTGTGGTATTGCTGTGGTTGTCATCACGTGATTGCAAGTTTCCAACTGTTCCTGCCAGCTTCGCACTCATTTCGTTTTGTTGGAAACCAGCTGGGAGGTTCGCAAGTCACAAACATTTGACCATAGGATGTTGCAGCAGCTGTAAATGTGAGCCAGTTGCCAGGTGCCTGGATCACAATATTGTGACTGTGGGGATGCTGTTCATAAGTATGAGGATCGGTTATAAGTAATTTTTTTTCATTGTAATTTCAAATGGTCACTAATGAACGGTCATAAGTTGAGGTCTGCCTGTATAACAGATTGACTGTTATCTAAATGGCTATTGACTGTGTGGCTTGTGGACTGCATCCATTAGTGTCTTTCCAACACCCTGCCTTCATAATGCTTGAATGAACTTAACTTCCTGGCCCAAAGGGGCTTTTCCAAAAGCCAATTGGACTTCCTTGGGTTTTTTTCTTTGAAAATGTTTTGCTTCTCATCCAAGAAGTTTCTTCAGTTCCGGAACTGAAGAAATTTCTTGGATGAGAAGCAAAACATTTAAACAAAAAACAAAAAAAACCCCAAGAAATTCCAATTGCCTTTTGGAAAAGCACCTTTGGAACAACCATGACCTGGATCAGAGGTCTTCAAACGTGGCCCTTTTATGACTTGTGGACTTCAACTGAGGAATTCTGGGAGTTGAAGTCCACAAGTCATAAAAGGGCCACGTTTGAAGACCCCTGACCTGGATGATTGAGAAACTCCAAAGACTCTTAGCTTTTATGGGGTTTTGGATGCCCATAAATTTATGTCGCAGTCAGGAAATAGCACAGTGCAGGTTGCCTTCTCTTCAAGTTGGCTTCAAGGCATCCCTTGAAAGAACGGGGAGGTCTGCTTAGAAAGAAGGTGAACTCTAAAGGAACACCTGGCCTACCACTGATGGTTGTGCTTCTTTTCCAGGATATATCCTGAAACTAACCAGTTGGGCAGCAGCAGTAGGAACCCTTTGCAAGACGGTCTTCAAGAGAGCGAGCAGAGACTTTTCTGGCACGAGGATTCAAAACCTGGGACTTTAGTATGAACCCGCCCTCTCCTTCAAACGCCCCATGTGCCTTGCACCTTACACATTTTCCCCACGAAAATGAGGTTCCTGGTGCAGCCACTCCGTCAAGGAGGTTGTGCTGGGAGGACAAGAAGCATTCAGTGTCAGAGAAACCGGAAGGGTCTCAACCTGTGCTAGCACAACAAGTATGAATCTGAATACCCTCAGCAAAGGAAGAGGACTCCAGTTGCCTGCTTTTAAAGCTCCTAACCTTCAGATGCTACTTTGGGTTAAAAGTATTTTTGAAAGCACTTTTTATTTTTATTTTTTAAGATAAAATGGGGGAGCCGTTGTGGACGTTGCAAAACATCCCAAAATGTGAAAAGAAGATACTTGTTGGGATGAGGTTATTTTTTAGCAGCACAATTTGGAGAGAGAGAGAGAAGCAGGCAACGTGAGAGTGTGGCATCTGCCAATCAAGAAGATTCTATTGAAGGATGCCACGAGCATAATGAGCAGAGTGGAAGATTGGCTTGGTATTGCAATGCTACTTGAAGGATGCTTGGTTGTGTGTGTGTGCGTGTGTGTGTGAGTGTGTTTTTTTAAAAACAGTATTCCGAATAAGGTTAAAGTTCTTTTAAAGGTATGCCATCTTGGGTATATATATCCATAAGTTTAAACACGGAGTGGGAGGGGGGTGGGGGCAGAGAAGCAGTTGCACATAAAGGTAATAAAGCATTGTTGTTTTCCTGACTTTTTTTTTTAAAAAATGCAATTTTACATGTTCTCTTCCCCATCCTTTCCCATGTTGCTTTGTAATGATCAAGGTTTAATATAGAATGCACCAGGATAAACATTTGAGGTGCTTTCACGGAATTGTTTACAAGAGCTACACTGTCTTCCATTTGCAACACTCCCAGATTCCCCCCCCCCTTTTTTTTTCTTCTGTGTTTCTTCTTTCCAGAAAAAACAAAATCCTTACAGTTAAATAAAAAAAAAAGGCAAAAAAGCAGCACAATAACTTTTGAATACAAGCAACCAGGCGCTTCCTCTGTCCAGAAACCTCATAATATCCAATGACTGGAAACAGAAACTTTGCAGTTGACCAATTGGGGGCTATCTGGGCCAGTATTACTCTTTGTTTAATAGTGAATGCAAATACATTAATTACACCATGTAGGTGCCTTTAAATCGATAGGCATTAATAAAATGAGAGAAAAAAGTACAAGATGTGCAGAACAAATGCACAAAGAAGTCTGATCTTTGAGGAGGATCCATTGGCTAGGATTGGCAGTGTGGGAACAGGGCGAAGCAGGAAGTAATCCAGGTTGGGAATTGAATCAAGAGCCGACAATCTTGAATTCCCGTTTGGTAAATCAGGAGCTGGATACATGTTTTGTTTCCACCCTTCTGTGAAATCAGCTGATCTGATCTGTGAATGGAAATGTGTGCATACATTATAAATTGACTTCTATAACTTGGGACCACAGAGTAATAAGTGACTATTCCAATAAACTCAGTAAATTTTGGGTTTGGTGCAAAAGAGAGAGATAAAAATCAAGTTACAGGTTTTTGCCACGAAGGATCAGCCTACCTC